GTGATTTTTTTAACTCTTATTTCCTCTCAGTTTTTATGCAGGAAGATACTAGCGAAATTCCAGTAATAAATTATGTATAACAGAATGATAATAAACTATGCACGACTAGGGTAACTAGTAACATGGTCCTCAGACATACAGAGAAATTAATACCGAACAAATCCCCAAGGGTTTTAAAAGAATGTAAATAGGAGCTTAGCAAACCTTTGGCTAATCTTTTCAACATATCACTACAAACTGGCATGGTGCCAGAAAAGTGGAAAATGGAAAATGTAATACCTATTTACAAAGCAGGAGACAGGTCCTTTGCTTCGAACTATAGACCATTAAGCCTTACCTCCATAGCGGGGAAATTTATGTATTCAATAACTGCCGAGACAATTTGCAGCCATATTGAAAGGCATAAACTGACTAATGGATCTCAGTACGGTTTTACAAAGGGGCGTTCCTGCCTTACGAATTTACTAACATTTTTCACCAAGGTATTTGAGAAGGTAGATCATGGTAATGAATATGATATTGTGTATATGGACTTCAGTAAAGCTTATAATAGAGTTTCACATCAGAGGCTGTTGAGGAAAATTAAGGCACACGGAATAAGATAAATTTTTTCCTGGGTAAAGGCGTGGTTGACAGGCAGCAGAGTTGGCATTAATAGGAAGAAATCAGAGTGGGGGCACGTCATGAGTGGTGTTTCATGGTGTTGGGCCCTTTGTTATTCACAATTTATATTATATAAACGACATTGATGAGGGAATAATAGTGACATAAGCAAGTTTGCTGATGACACCAATATAGGCCACCTAATTCAGTCTAATGAGGACATTAGATCACTCAAGGAAGATTTGAACAGACTGATGCAGTGGTCGGAGACGTGGCAGATGCAGTTTAACATAGACAAATGCAAAGTTCTAAACATTGGACAGTTAAATAACCATGCCACAAATAAACTAAATAATGTAGATCTTAATATTACTGACTGCAAAAAGGATTTAGGAGTTCTGGTTAGCAGTAATCTAAAACTAAGACAACAGTGCATAAGTATTCACAATAAAGTGAACAGAATCCTTGGCTTCATATCAAGGAGCATAATTAATAGGAGTCTTCAGGTTGTTCTTCAATTCTATATATCTTTGGTTAGGCCTCATTTAGATTATGCTGCACAGTTTTGGTCTCCGTATTACAGAATGGATATAAATGCTCTGGAAAGCATACAAAGGAGGATGACAAAGTTGATCCCATGTATCTGAAATCTTCCCTATGAGGATAGACTGAGGACCTGAATCTGCACTCTCTAGAAAGTTTGTTGGACTACATATTGGTAGATAAAAGACTGTTGAGTAGACTTCAGGATGTACATGTTTGTAGAGGGGTCACAGATGTATCAGATCACTTTTTAGTTGTAGCTACAGTGAGAGTAAAAGGTAGATGGGATATGGGGAAAACAGAAGCAGCAAGTAAGAGAGAGGTGAAGGTTTATAAACTAAAGGAGGAGACAGTTAGCATAAGATATAAACAACTATTGAAGGATAGATGGGATAGTGAGAGTATAGGGAATGGGGTCGAAGATGTATGGGGTAGATCTAAGAATGTAGTGTTAAGAGTGTTCAGCAGAAGTTTGTGGTTACAAGAAAGTGGGTGCAGGAGGGAAGAAGAGCAATTGGTGGAATGATGATGTAAAGAGAGTAGTACGAGAGAAAAGGTTAGCATTTGAGAGGTTTTTACAAAGTAGAAGTGATGCAAGGAGGGAGAAGTATATGGAGAGAAAAAGAGAGATTAAGAGAGTGGTGAAGCAATGTAAAAAGAGAGCAAATGAAAATAAGAAAAAGTTTTTGAGTGAGATTAATAAGTTGAGGAAGCCTAGGGAACGAATGGCTTTGATAGTTAAAAATAGAAGAAGATAGTTATTAAATGAAGAGTTAGAGGTATTGGAAAAATGGAGGGAATATTTTGAGGAAATGTTAAATATTGATGAAGATAGGGAAGCTGTGATTTCGTGTATAGGGCAAGGAGGCATAACATCTTGTAGGAGTGAGGAAGAGCCAGTTGTGAGTGTGGGGCAGTTCGTGAGGCAGTGGGTAGAATGAAAAGGGGGTAAAGCTGCAGGGATTGATGGGATAAAGATAGAAATATTAAAAGCAGGTGGTGATACAGTTTTTGAGTGGTTGGTGCTTTTATTTAATAAATTTATGGAAGAGGGTAAGATACCTAGGGATTGGCAGAGAGCATGCATAGTTCCTTTGTATGAAGGCAAAGGGAACAAGTACATGGTATACAGGCCTAGCTGATATCAATTGCATACTACTATATAGAAAGCCGCTTGTTATGCTGAGCATTTCGGGCAAATTAGGTCAGTTTTGTCCCAGGATGCGACCCACACCAATCGACTAACACCCAGGCACCCATTTTATACTAATGGGTGAACAGGGACAACAGGTGTCTTATGGAAACACATCCCTAATGTTTTCCAGCCGTAACGGAGATTCGAACTCCGGACCTCAGTGTGTGAGCTGAGTGTGCTAGTGATGGAGCTACGGGACACCTTGTGCTAATAGGTCTGATGCCGTGCCCTTTCCTTAAGTGAATATAACCTGACCTGACCTGACTAGGCAGGTCAATGATTTAAGCCGGGAGGTGACTTGGACCTGCCTCGCATGGGCCAGTAGACCTGCTGCAGTGTTCTTTCTTTCTTATGTTCTTATAAGAGTAAACATTTTCGGTACAAGAAGAAAGTCATGTGGAACAACATAGGTCAACAATGATGACTACGATACAGAATCACTGACGACTACTTGATATGACCCACCAGAAAGATACGGTTTCACTAAACTACAGCTAGAACATGAAAGATCAAGTAACAGTCACAAACCAAAAATGAATGAACATTATACATGAACTGCATCATGTCAGGAAAGAACAACATTTCCAACAGTTAACAGCTTATGATATCGCAATGTCCAATTACCCTCCCAAGAAATTAATCATGCACAATCTTCATCAATAAATATCTATACTAAATAGAACACATATACGACCTGGAAATATAAACATAAGCAGTATAATGTGATCCTTTATTGACAAAGTTTCGCCCACACAGTGGACTTTATCAAGTCACAAACCGATCTGTGACTTGATAAAGCCCACTGTGTAGGCGAAACATTGTCAATAATCACATTATACTGCGTATGTGTTTATATTTCCATTGTGTCGGTATTTTATACCATTCCACATATACGACCTACAGTCTAAAAATACTATCACACAGACTACCTACACTGACGGCTCCCTTAACTGTGACTTGGAGGGTGGGAAGTGCTGCTATCGCAAACTAGAATGATGGTACGATGATAGAGGTGTATGAGAAATAGCAACTACGCTTCCACATTATAAACTGAGCTGTTTGCCAGGCTTGATCTCAATTTCAAACAGTTTGAGTGCTTCTGACTACCTATCCTCATTATCTGCTCTAAATAGCCTGAGATCTGAAGGGAATATGCTGGTGTATGAAGCCAGACTCAGGTATACACAATTTTTGAAAAGGGGAGTAAATACGCGTGGGTCATTAAGATGGCATGTCACCTGTACACCAGCAGTCAAGGATACTTTGATCCATAAAATAAGAACTGGGGTCAACTCAGTGTATATACACTAATGCACCTCTCTGTGGGTATACACTTGCACAGAGTTGCAGACGAGTGTAACAACGCATCAAGTAGCCTCACTTATGCTAACACCTTGGGTAGCTTTTAAACGAGTCAGACAAATTTACAAGGTAGAACCTAACTAGCATGGGGCAATAATAGTCCTACTTCCTCATCAGACGAGCCTGGCCCATGGCCGGGCACCGGGAGTACTAAGACTCTCGAAACTTATCAAAGGTAAGGTATATAGTTCAGTTGTGACTTAATAACAGTCCAAGACAAATTGGAACGTGTAGTTTACACTTGAAAGATAATGTTCGTTAGGAAACAGGACAAGTGTTTCCTGACGCGGATCTTAGTCGTATAATGACCCGCAGCTGTTGCTTCTGGTCATCTGACCGAGGCCTTCCACTGGCTTACAAGTCCACCACTTTAAAAAATATAATCATTAGGAATTGTATCGCTTCACTCGAAAGTCTGGGTTTATCGAGAGAAATAACCCACATGCTAGGCTAGGCTATTAAGCCTACTAATGCTACCACTCTTTTTTTTTTATTTTGTACCGAGTCTTGTATATTTTTGCTTTAATTCCAAAATTGTGCTAATTATTCACGAGTACCACTTGGTAACAACCTTTTTTTAATTACCTTAAACACTTTTTATAATTACCTCCTGTATAATTACATTCCAGTCCTGTTTTGCCACATTATGATCCTTTCTAATTACCTTCTGGATACTTTTTAATACCTTCTGAATTTCTTGCTAATGAGTACTGTTGGATGTTCTGTTTACCGTTCATGCTGTTGGTCATAAACATTAATAATTGACAACGCAAAGGATTAGCTCACATGGTTTAAAATTTAGCTTATACGATGCAAGAGATTTGGCTCAGAAGCTATAGAAGTTTATATAAAGCAAAAAATCAGCTAATTCTAAAAAATTAAGCTTTTGCTAGGAGGCTGGATAGGCAGATACGACACGGGACAGGTGGATCAGCACACAGATGGTGTTATGACTACCCCACAGGCTGGGTGGATCAGCACACAGCTGGTTATGACTACACCGCAGGCAAGCTGATATATACACATACACCTGGTCTAGATACTTTATATTACTGTCACTATAATTACTGCCGCCACACAGACAATATCAAGCATGTCACACCAGCCTCGTTACACGCCCAGGCCAGGAGCTGTGAATCGACGCCTGCAACCACAAATATTTGAACACACACACACACACACACACACATCACCACCAAGCATGCTGCATCAGCGTCGTGACCTTGCAAGGAACAGACATCATCTTATCTACAAGGCGCTACCAACAAGCCAAGAACAATAATGGCAGTGTATATACCTCTACCTTGGTTATGTGACTCACTCTCCGAATCTGCAAATATCATGGCATGAATGAGAGAAGCAAGGATCATATATGTAATCACACGAAAAAATATATACATATATATAAGCAGTCATCAGTCGGTTATCAGAGGTAATCAACTAGAACTGACAAATATCATGGCATGAGTGAGAGAAGCATGGATCACATATGTCATCACATGAAAAAAATATGCAAAACAACCACAGGGGGAGTTGAATAATAGCTCTAATCCTTTCTGTGTTACAATCAACGCATCATCAGGAGCTTGCAAAGTTGCAGAAATGATAAGAAATCTCAGTAGATTCGCTCAAGAGACGCTTAGCAAGCATCTCTCTGAGCGAATCTGCTGAGATTTATCATTTCTGCAACTTTACAAGCTCTTGATGATGTAATGATTGCAACACGAATGGCCCAGAGTTATTATTTAACTCCCCCTGTGGTTGTTTTGCATCTTTTGTTGCTTGTTCACGACTCTTGCATAATGAAAAAAAAAATATACGTATATAAGTAAGGAGTCATCAGTTGTATATTAAGAAATAATCAACAAGGACTAACAACAAGTAACACTTAAAAAACCAACAGAAATCTGTAAGCGCTCACTCCAGCCTTGAGGGGCGTAATAATAATAAATTTATATACAAAGTTATGCTAATCAAAACACAAGGGTCATAATTGCAAACTGAGAAAAAAGGCAGCTAGGCCATTTTTAAAATAATCACAGCAGTGGAACACAAAAAAGAGTAGGTAGTGGGTACTACAATCACTGGAAATTTGAAAAAAAAAAATTGCTGAAGAGTGGATACCAAGAGCATGGCTCTGCTTCTGTACCTATATTATTATTATTATTATTATAACTGTTAAACCCAGAGGGAGGGTTCTGTAGCTACAGACAGGTACAGGTGGGCCCCGCTTATACGGCAGGTTAGGTTCCAGGCTCCTGTTGTAAAGTGAAAATCACTGCACATTGTGATAATATGTTTACACTCTCATATGTTAGGAAAGCAATATAGCTAGACATAAAAAAGATGCATATACAGTACATGAATTACTTAAAAAAAATTTCATCCTTAGCTTATACAAGTAGTGAATATACTTATTGTAGGAAGTCTGAATAAATGAAGAATGTGCATAATGAAAACTGCTGTATTGGTGAAATGCCGTAAAGTGAAGTGTCGTAAAGTGAAGTGTCGTAAAGTGAAGTGTCGTAAAGTGAGGCCCTTCTGTAATTTACAATGAATTCATTGTATTTACACATGATGTTCAAGCGAGTGACGAGGATAGTAGGCGAAACGTTTCGGAATAAAGTTGCCCAACTGTTGCCTTTGTCTTACCTACCGACGAGGATAGTGTTGATGTGGAGTGTATACACTGGTAGCTTCACAAAGCATTGTTAACATTAACACTAATCTCTGGTGCGCATGTGAAATTTGAAGGAACTACTGGGTGAAGGATACTGAAAGCTTAAGTACTGGGTAAAGGAAAATGACAGCTGAAATAGTGGAGGAAAATGAAAGCTGAAGTACCGAATGAACGAAAACAGAGCTCACCTGAGCCATTCTTCCTCTTATCTCTTCTCGATTTCTTCTTCCTTTCTTTTTCCTCTTTGTTCGGTGGTTCTTGTTTCTTGTTATCTTCCTTGGAAGACGAACTATCTTCCCTCGAATCCTTCCCCTCAGTTAGCTGAGAAAGGGACCCATCACTGGAGTCTTCCTGTGATTCAGTTTTAGAGTTCTGCTTGCAAGATGTCTTCCTCTGAAGCTTCCTCTTCTTTGGCCCTTTTTCGCTTTCAGGGTTTTGAGGGGCAGAGGTGCATGATTTGGACTGAATGTTCCTCTCCGGCAAACTGTCAGGAACTATCTCTTGCGTATTCTTTTTCTCTTCGAAGATTTCGGGAGCATTTAAACTTGCTCCTGAAGTGTCCTCTGTGATGGTTCCTGAGCGGCTGTTAGAAGTTGAAACGCTACTGGCATAGAGTTGATTCTCACCGGAGCTGAGAGCTCTTTCGTGAGAGAGATGCTTCGCGATCTCACTCGTGCTGAGGTTCCCTTCGTTTAACTGGCTCTTTTCCGTGTCTGTGATGACTGACCACGGTCTCCTTGGGTCTTGGGGGTCGAGTGAAGATTCTCTCTCACTTGGCGAGTCCTTAGATAATTCTGAATCGCTTCGTTTACGCATTTTCTTGGGTCGGTAATACTGGCTGTCATCCTGGGAGTCTAAACTTCTAGTTCTGACTGCATGTTTTGAAAATCTTTGAGACTCCTTTGAGTTACCTGGAAGGTCCTCGGATGAAGAAGAGATGCTCAACGTAGTTTGATATTCACAAGATAGATCTTTCTCACTTCCACTTCTTGTCTTATTATCTGGAGTTTCACAAGTATCCCCACTAACACTCGCTGAATTCTCAGTGTTTTTGTCGTCCCTAGCACCATGAGCTAAGGTAGTGGTACTGGCAAAATAAGGCGAGGTATTGGCACTAGGTTCCTGGCTAGTGCTACCATCAACATGCTCATCAGGTGCAGTCTGGGACGGGCTGCCGTCGATCATTTCTCCCTCTGTCCTTGTGTCTCTACTGCCATAAGACTTGAGAAATCTTTTATCACTGGATTCTTTGGTCTTGGGAAACGATGAGTTTTGCTGTGCTTCTTCAGTTTTCATATTCTTCAGGTCCTGTGTTAAGTCCTTGACTTTATTATCAGATTGCTGTAATCTAGCTGGATTACACAGAAGCTGTTTCTGTTTTTCATTATATTCTTTAACAAGGAGTTCTGCCCTTTCTTCAACAAGGCGGTCAACAGAGTTTGTTTCACCTAACATTGCCTCATTATATTGTCTCCCTTGGCCTTGTTTACCAATGCTCTCAGCAGGATAAGAGTCTCCCTTTTGTAGTCTGTTTACATTATGCGATGGTGTGTCTACTTGTGAGAAATGAACATCACGTTCAGGTTCACCAGCTTTCAGTGTCTCTGAGTTGTCTAAATTACCGAGGATCGGTTCTAAACTTGGCACCTTACAAGTTGGAACTTGCACCGGACCGTCACTGCCAAAACTAACCCACAACGAAGTATCCGAATCCCGATTTGGCTCAATGTTCTTAACCAGTATATTCGGTCGGCCTCTTATGGAAGATTCTCGAGCATTCGTATTGGTATTGTTCCCCATCGAAATGAAAGATTCCTCGGAAATATTTTGTGAATCGGGACCATTGCCTGATGAGGTGTGAATTGCGGCTGTGTTTTCCAGTGAAGTTCCCTCGGAGAAATTTATAGCAGTACTAAGAACGTCCTGTTCCTCTGCTGATGACCCTGCCAATAGTTTATTTTCTACAGGTGTTGTCTTCACATGAAAACTACTAACGTCCTTCTCCACAAATGGTGATGTCTGGTCCTGAATCTCGAGAGGTTCAGAGCTCTCAGGAACAGTGAGAGGCTCTTGGTTTTTAGCAGCCTGGAGATGATTCACATCTTCAGGAGCTGAGGGAGAATTTAGCTCTTCAGAAGCTGGGAAAGGCTCTTGATTTTCAGAAACAGTGAGAGATTCTGGATCTACAGGAGCTGAGAGAGGCTCCAAACCTTCTGGAGCAGAGATAGGCTTTAAATCTCCAAGAGACAGAGGAGGCTTTAGATCTTCCAGACCCGGGAGAGGATCTACATCTCCAGGCGCTGGAAGATGTTTTATGTTTTCAGGAGCCGGGAGTGGATCAAGCTCTTTAAGAGCCGAGTTAGGCTCTAGAGCTTCAAGAGCCGAGTTAGGCTCTAGAACTTCAAAAGCCGAGTTAGACTCCTGAGCTTTAGAAACAGAGTTAAACTCCAGAACGTCAGGAGCCGAGTTAGGCTTTAAAGCTGTAGAAGCTGGAAGAGGATGTTTCACATCTCCTGAAGTCGGAAGAGGCTTCAGATTTCCAGAAACAAGAACAGGCTTCAGATCTTCAGGGACAGGGAGAGGCTCTAGATCTGGCAGTGAATCTGAAAAGGAGTCATCGAGTGATTCTGAAGTAGAGTTACATTTAATTTTTTCACAAACTCTCTCAACTTTAAAACTAAAGGTGTATGCCTCCCTCACAAGAGGTGAGGGAGGCAGGTCTGTCTCAGAGGGTGAAGATATTTCTTTTACAGAGGGTGATGAGGCAGATAGCTCCCTCTCTGAGGGAGAGGGAGACAACATCTTCACAGAGGGTGAGGCAGACAGCTCCCTTTCTGAGGGAGAGAGACAAAGCTCTGTCTCAGAGGAATGGGTAGGGAGCTCTTTATCAGGAGAGGGACGGTGCCCCCTTTCAGGTGAAGGAGGTTCTATTTTAAGCGTGATAGTCATGTCGTCATCACTCCGCTCAGGAGAGTCACCCAGCCTGGGAAAAGCCACGGGAAGGTTGTGAGTTACAACTGTTCCTTCGGGTTGTTCTTGGTCGTGTCCAGTCAGTCCATTACACTTGTCACTAACGCCACACGAGTCATTGCTGTCTTCACCAAATAATTCAAGGTGCCGTTTGTGTTTATTCCCCTTGAGACCTTTTCTCGTTTTCCCTTTATCTCTCAATTTCTGTTTTTTATCTTTTTTTGATTTGTGCTTCTTGTTATTAACGTTTACATCCGAAAAGCTTTGGTCCTCGCTGCTTAACCTATTTGAGCAAGAGTACTCCTTCTTGGGTCCGTTTCCTCTTAGCGTTAACACTATCTTTGGAATACCGTTTTCTTTATTACACTCTTTCTTTTCTGTAACCAGAGGCGACTGAGTGTCTGTTTTATGCCTTAACCTGAACTTTAACTTCATAGGGCCTTTGTTTGAGTCAGTTTGATCACTGACACACTCACAGTAATTCATTAATTCATGTCCAGGCTCACCTGCCTTACGAGTAACTTCCTCTTCACCTTCCTTACTGTACTCAAGAGCTAAGACCTGAGTCGATCCTGATGGGCTGACGTGAGCATCTACTGGCTGTTCAATATGAGTATCCATTTGGGTATTACTGCTAACATTTATCGATAGGTTATCAAGAGTGGCCTTTGAACACTTCACTTCACTGTCTGTCGAAGAATCGATTACACCATCTACTGATGGCATGTCTTGACAGCCTTCCGTCAGTTTCCTTCCTGACGGCTCTACCTGAGAGTTAAGAGAATCTTCGAACCCAGACCTCGAGGTCACAGAACTTGTGCTTGCTTTACTGAGTTGAACCTCGCCTCGGGGCAAGTCTCTGAATGGAAGGGATGATGCTGACGGGAAGACTGCCGAAGGCGCCGGCGAAGATGACTCGACAGGGAGAGAACAGGGAGAGGGTAGGGAAGAAGGATGATTCCCTGGGGAGTGTGGGGAGGAATTGGGTACCAGTGAGGAGGCTACCGAACAAGGAGTATATGTTTTTTGCTCAGATCCCAACGGACAGGGAGGTGGTGGGGATGTAGGTGGGGAAGGAGGAGAATCAACATGCGAGTAGACTGGGAAAGATAGTGGGGAAGTCAGGGGATGTAACTGGGGCAAAGAAGAGAGGAAGGCAGTAGGTGACGAAGAAGCGAGGGGAAGCATAGGTGACAGAACGGTTGACATGTGGGTGTTAGGGGAAACAAAAGCTGATGAGTCTGAGGTAGGTGGGGAAGGTTGGAGTGTTGTCGTAGAGGGTTGTGTGCTTGCTGGGTTAGGTTGTGTGGTGGTTAGGGAGGTTTGGGTGGTTGTCAAAGCTGTTAATGTTAATGGGAAAGCTTGTGTGACTTCTGGAGAATGTGGTGACCTGGACGAGCAAAGGGCGTATGGTTGCGTTGGTGTGAGAGTTGTGGTAGTGGTAGGGGAAATGTGGTGCCACACAGGTGGGGTAGTAGGTGAGAGAGGTGGGGAGGGTGGGGAGTGTGCTCGTTTGGAGGAGTAACATGTGGACTGTGAGGACAGATCTGAGCACTGAGTGACTAGGGAAGGTGTGGGTGAGGATTCACATAGGTCTGAAGAGTGGGTAACTTGTGGAAGTGTGGGAGAAGACCTGGAAGAAGGATGCGAGTCACATGTGGTCCCCGTGTTACCAACATAGCCCTCCTGACTAGGAACTCTCGTCAAGTCCAGGTCTTGTCCCGAGAAGCCACTGTGAATTCGTTTATCTAAGGAAGCGTCTTGGTCACTAACAGCCTCTCTCTCGTTTTCTTTCACACTAACACTACCTTTTCTCGTTGCTTCATGACTCAAACACGCTGTCACTGACTCACTCAGAGTAGCTGTATTACACTCGCTGTTCACTACATTCGCTGACAAGGAAATGTCATCCCCGTTGCTGTACGCCTCTCTGTTGTAATCCCCGCTGCTGCTGGTGTTGTCGTTTTGGCCTCTTTCACCGTACTCTACATAGCGAGCCATAGAAGGGTTCACCTGCCTTTCATTAATAGTGTCATCATAGACACTTTTGTAGTCGTCTGGCGATGTATCATTGGATGAACTATGGACAGGCAGGAGGCGAATTGTACCGTATGCCCGGAGACTCCTTACATCCCCCTGTAGTAGACCATCCTCCAGGCGGTGAAGAAGGACCACTGGCTGTTCCAGAGGACCTTGTGGAGAGGTAGGAGCTGCGGGGATGAGAGACCGTATGGCGTTGGGGCCACAGAGAGAGCAGGGGCGTGGGCGGCGGGACAGAGGGCGTGGTTGTGGGTGGTGGACAGTACCAGTGTGTTTTGGGGAACTGTTGAAGCTATGGACACTGATGGCACTGAGCCGCGAGTACACCTCGTCACACGAGGCCTGAACACCGCTACCGTACGTGTCCGTGGTTATAGCGGAGGTGCTGACGGCAGCGGCCAGGACAGGAGAGACAGTGAGGGTGGATGAGGTGTTATTGAGAGCGTGTTGCTGTGGTGCTGCCATGACCGGCCCCCCACCCACTCATGACGTCCCACCGCCACACCTGTGCCGCCACACAACACCTGTGACACACCTGCGCCACCTTCCGCTCACCACACAGCCTCCAACGTGGCCCGCCACGCAGATATAAGTCCAACACAAGCGGCTGCAGCCCCTCACTCCTGAAAGAGAACCTGAGAGTTACACATGTGACCGCCACCGTGCCGAGGCTACACCTGCTCAGTACCTACCACAACTCTGTTACTACTGCTGTTGCCATGTTAACCCTAAACTATTCCTCTTAATGATAACACACTATCACAACACACTGCACTATAACACACACTACACCATAACACATGCTATGACACAGCACATATCACAATACGCAACACCGTAACCCTACACCACGTAACACACCACCACAATACACTACACCACAACACAATACCACAAAATCCACTACACAACACACAATACCATAACACTGCCACAACACACACTACCACAATACACTACACCATAACACTGCCACAACACACACTACCACAATACACTACACCATAACACTGCCACAACACACAACTCACCACAAAATTCAACACCACAATACACTATACATATACCAGAAACATTAATACAGTTGAACACAAAATACTGAACAATTTAATCAGAATGAACACGACGGGATTTACAGATAACTTTAATACTCTAGAAAATGTTAGTGAGAACATTCTAGGTCCTAGAATGAACACGCCTTGATGCCACAGCTCCTGATCAGCCGGGCTGTGGTGCTCACGGTGGATTTTATGCGACTAGCACCAACAGACTGACTGATCAGACCACCCACTAATAATAATCATTTTTATTTCTACAAGAACATGATACAAGGTATACAGACCATAGCTGACATCAGTGATATAACTATATAGAAAGTACCTGGTTATGCAGAGCATTTCCCGCAAACTGGGTTAGTTTTGTCTCAGGATGCCACCCACACCAGTCGATTAACACCCGGGAACCTACTTACTGCCAGGTGAACACTCACAGCAGGTGTAAGATGACTAACACCCAGGTACCTACTTACTGCTAAATGAACATGGACAGCAGGTGTAAGGCGGCTAACACTCATGTACCTATTTTACTGCTAGGTGAACAGGAACAGCAGGTGTCTTTGGAAAACACGTCCTAATGTTTCCATTCGTACCGGGGATCGAACCACGGACACTCAATGTGTGAGCTGAGTGCGCTGCCAACCCAGCTACGGGACAGTGGAAGGCTGGTCTGGAACCGGGCTAGTGTCAAACACATCTTGACAAGATACATAATCTTAAACTGTATATAACTTTTGGAAGACTGGTTGTGAGGATACATAGCATTCGTGAGCTAGGAGTGAGAGGATACATAGCATTCGTGAGCTAGGAGTGAGAGGATACATAGCATTCGTGAGCTAGGAGTGAGAGGATACATAGCATTCGTGAGCTAGGAGTGAGAGGATACATAGCATTCGTGAGCTAGGAGTGAGAGGATACGTAGAATTCGTGAGCTAGGAGTGAGAGGATACATAGAATTCGTGAGCTAGGAGTGAGAGGATACATAGAATTCGTGAGCTAGGAGTGAGAGGATACATAGCATTCGTAAGCGAGGAGTGAGAGAATACATAGCATTCGTGAGCTAGGAGTGAGAGAATACATAGCATTCGTGACCTAGGAGTGAGAATACATAGCATTCGTGAGCTAGGAGTGAGAGGATACATAGAATTCGTGAGCTAGGAGTGAGAGAATACATAGCATTCGTGAGCTAGGAGAGAATACATAGCATTCGTGAGCTAGGAGAGAATACATAGCATTCGTGAGCTAGGAGAGAATACATAGCATTCGTGAGCTAGGAGTGAGAGGATACATAGCATTCGTAAGCTAGGAGTGAGAGAATACATAGCATTCGTGAGCTAGGAGTCAGAGAATACATAGCATTCGTGAGCTAGGAGTGAGAGGATACATAGAATTCGTGAACTAGGAGTGAGAGGATACATAGCATTCGTGAGCTAAGAGTGAGAGAATACATAGCATTCGTGAGCTAGGAGTGAGAGGATACATAGCATTCGTGAGCTAAGAGTGAGAGAATACATAGCATTCGTGAGCTAAGAGTGAGAGAATACATAGCATTCGTGAGCTAAGAGTGAGAGAATACATAGCATTCGTGAGCTAGGAGTGAGAGGATACATAGCATTCGTGAGCTAAGAGTGAGAGAATACATAGCATTCGTGAGCTAGGAGTGAGAGGATACATAGCATTCGTGAGCTAAGAGTGAGAGAATACATAGCATTCGTGAGCTAGGAGTGAGAGGATACATAGCATTCGTGAGCTAGGAGTGAGAGGATACATAGCATTCGTGAGCTAAGAGTGAGAGAATACATAGCATTCGTGAGCTAAGAGTGAGAGAATACATAGCATTCGTGAGCTAGGAGTGAGAGGATACATAGCATTCGTGAGCTAGGAGTGACAGGATACATAGCATTCGTGAACTAGGAGTGAGAGAATACATAGCATTCGTGAACTAGGAGTGAGAGGATACATAGAATTCGTATATAAGGCTAGCCGCTAGACGCTAGAGGATACAAAGTATTTGATCAAAGAAAACGGCGAAAAATATTGACTCGATATTAATTAATTTTAAAGAGAGTAGATCAATTAAAATATTTTTCCCTACGTAATTTTTTAGCCAGAATAAGTTACGTTGCTGTGTCAACTTTGATGCAAAATAAGCATTAGAAAAATAAAAGAAATTGTATAAAAATTTGCAAAAAAATAAAAAAAATTTAGGGGGGTAACTAGGCTATTCAGGTGATCCCGAAAAAATGTATTAGTCTTCCCTCGATATTTATGGTTTAATAAGAGCATATACGAATATTTATTGCCTGTATCAAGCATAAACTAATATAAAAGAGGTAGATCCACCTGTTAAATCAGTAATTATATTGCCAGTTACAAACAGTTTATCATTAAAATTGGCCAATAATATAGAAAACGAGTAGTGTAGAAATTCTAAATATAGGAGGGCCCCGCTTATACAGCAGGTTGTGTTCAGGGTTGCTGCTGTAAAGTGAATCATAAAACTTATATATATATATATATATATATATATATATATATATATATATATATATATATATATATATATATATATATATATATATATATATATATAAAGCTTTCAAATACATATACAAGCCTGATAACATGTTTAGACTATCATATATTAAGAGAACAATATAGCTAGGCCTAAAAAGAGGCATATACAATACACATATTATTCACCTTAAAATATTTTCGCCATTAACTCATAGTGAGTGGTGAATATATTTATTGTAGGAAGTCTGAATAAATGAAGAATGGGAATAACTAAAACCGCTGTATTTGTGAAACATCTTCAAGCAAAGCGCTGTAAAGCGGGGCCTTCCTGCACTTTGAGTGCAAAACGACCACAGGGGGAGTTGAATGATATCTCTAAACCTTCCTTGTTGCAATCAACACATCTTCAGGAGCTTGCAATGTTGCAGATATAAATAGGACGTCCAGATAGATTCGTTCAGGGTAACGGCTCTAAGAATCTACCTGAACTTCCTACTCATTTCTGCAACATTGCAATCTCCTCAAGATATGTTGATTGCAACACAAAAGGCCCAGAGCTATTATTCGACTCTTCTTGTGGATGTTTTGTACCTTGTATCACTTACTCGCGATTATTGCACAAGTTAAAATATTCTTGACTGTGTGAAGAGGTTAGGTGCAGCCTTAATGACCCTCGTGTAGGTGACAGGCTTCAAACCCCAGTAACTAAAGAACGAGGAAATTGATTGGTTAATTAAATAACGAGGGTGTTGATTGGTTAATTAGATTTAAAGGCTATCTAGTACACGAGGGGTCATAATGTCTGCGTGTAACCTGTACAACACCAGTCAAGAATATTCTAATCCCTTAAATAAAAAAGAAAGCAAACAATATGTATATACACTGAGACATATTTCTTGAAGAAGAGGAGAAAGAAGGAAAAGAATTAAAGTTGCAAAAAACAACAATAATGATAATGATAATAATAATAATAATAATAATAATAATAATAAGTTGGACACCTCAACACATGACAAACACAGGATGTTTTTCTAATAAGTTTAAAGTCTTGAGTCTGATAAATATTTCTGTAGGTAGATAGCTAATCTTCACTAAGACTTCCTAACTGACCAGAATATCTACTGAATATCTGGGTTTATAAATATTACAGATAAAAGGCGAACTTTATGTTTATATATATATATATATATATATATATATATATATATATATATATATATATATATATATATATATATATATATATATATAGTCAGATGTCGCACTTGTGTCTAATTTTCATCAAGGATCAGGATGTTTAAGGAGATAAGGATCACGATGTTAGGTAAAAGGACACAAGTGCAACTAATGTTACATTTTATTGTGGCAACGTTTCGCTCTCCAGGAGTTTTGTCAAGCTGTTACAAACAATACATGGACACAGAGGGTATATATAGGCTTAGAGGTGTAATACTAGTAGTAGTAATAGTAGTAGCAGTACTAGTAGTAGTACTGCTGCTAGTACTAGTAGTAGCAGTACTAGTACTAATAGTACTGATGGAATTAAGACACATGTGCAACATCCAGTAGTTTCATCAACACAAATATGTCATATTAGTTGCACTTGTGTACTATCACCTAACATATTGTCGGTAATTTTACCAACAAGGATCACGATGTCTAAGGAGAGAAGGATCCAGAGGACTGTGATGACACACATCCTGCATGACGCAGTAACAGTTGTATACTCTAGGGCCTCAGGTGACAACACTAACAAACAACTTGCACTTCTCTCAACCAAAAGCAGACACACAGTATTTTCTGTGGTTAATGCTGAATATATTTATCTTGTGTGTTGTTGTGTGTGTGTGTACTCACCTAATTGTGGTTGCAGGGGTCGAGACTCAGCTCCTGGCCCCGCCTCTTCACTGATCGCTACTAGGTCCTCTCTCTCTCTCTCTCTCTCTCTCTCTCTCTCTCTCTCTCTCTCTGCTTCCTGAGCTTTGTGTGTGTGTGTGTGTGTGTGTGTGTGTGTGTGTGTGTGTGTGTGTGTGTGTGTGTGTGAGAATTAT